CCTCCGGCTCAGCAGCCACCGACTCTGTCGACATCTCCGTCGTCGTCGGCATCTCCGTCATCGTCGGCATTATCATCGGCGTCGTCTCGGTCGTCGCTGTCATTAGCGACATCCCGGCTTCGTCACGATGGGCGTAGAGCTCGTCGACGATCTCCGCAGCCGTCGGACGCGCTGTTGGGTCAAACGCCAAACACTTTTCGGTGAGCGTCCGAAGCCAAAGCGGGCACGCTTCACTGATGCGAGGCCGCAGCTGGCCCGTCCGCACCAGCGTTTCCACGTTTCTGCGGTCGACAAGCTCCGAGTACGGCTCGGTGTGCGTGAAGAGCTCGGTCAAGACGACGCCAAACGAGTAAATGTCGGCGGCCGACGTATAGACGCAGTCTTCGGCAGTCTCACCCGGCACTCGAAACACTTCGGGGGCGATCCAGCAGATCGTGCCGACGCTGCTCGTCATGAACGCACCAAGTGTTCGCGCCGAGCCCAGGTCGCCGAGGCGCACAAAATGGCGCTTGGAGAGAAAAATGTTGCGGCTCTTGATATCCCGATGCAACACGTTCTTGGCGTGCAGATCCAAGAGCGCATTCGCAACGACCCACGCAATCGCCAAAGGCGGTACGATCGCGGGTTCTGTCGCCGTGTCATGATTGGCGTAGCGCAAGGCGTCGTGGTACGCTGCCAGATCGCCGTCTTCCATGTGCTCGACGAGGAGCGTGGGACAAAAGAGCGGACGCGTCCCAGCCACGGCCAACGGCGCACGCAAGTCCTTGGTGCTGTCGAGGACGGCCAATAGCGGCAGCACATACGGCGACGTTGCCCTACCCAACATAAGGGATCTTGAAGAAGAGTGTGCGTTTGTGGTACAGCTGCATCGAAAGAATCTCGGCGCGCATGGCCCTTTGGATGCGGAGCATGGGGCACTCGGGACCCTTGAGCACCACCGGTTGGTGCTTGTACGATCCCATCGAGACATGAATTTTGTCCTTGGCAACCATTGTCCAAGCGATCGCAATGTCCTCTGCGGACGCCTAGACGACAGAGGTTACATGTCGCATGCATTCTCGACACCTAAACGCGAATTCGACTGTACCGCAACAGCCGGCGGGTACACGTAGGTATACAGCGTCGCGGCCAATGCCCGATGGAAGCGTCGAATGGCCGTCGCCAAGACCGAGTAGCCGTCCTAACATAGTGTCGCACTTGATGCCAAGGTGGATGTATCGCACCGGACACGGGATCGTCGCGTCGGCGCCAGACACCAAGAGAGCATCCACCGCCAACGTGTGTTCTTGCTCGACCGCCAACGCCAGCGCCGTGTACCCTGCCTGCACACAAACAAGAGTGATGAATAGCATCGAGAGTTAGCGAATCGCATCTAGTTTTACCACATCGACTTGGTTGAGACGCAAGCCACGCGCTGTGAGCAAGAC